GAACCCGCAACCCTCGGATTGTGAGTCGAGCGCCCTAACCACCTGGCCATGCCGGGCCAACTCCACAAGTCACCATATATATATATATATATATATATATACACACACACACATACACACAAATAGTTGCAAATTTCCCATTTTCGCACAGAAACATTCTAAAAGAAATACACTACAACGTTTACCTGTCACAATTCATTAGCTTTCCTAGAATTTGTTGTAATTTGGAAGATTTTATAGAGAGCTAAATAACATAATTTTTTATTAAAAATTTATTTTTCAATAAATTACTGACGGCGTTTTTTAAAATCCTTTTGCAAATACAATTTATTTAAACTAAAGTGTATATCGATTCACAATTTCGCCACTTTTCGTACAATACAACTTATTTTAATTTAAATGTATAACTTCCTTAGCCTTGTCTTATATAATCGAACACAAGCCTAAACATTTCTCTTTTCAAGGTTATCATTTTATTTAACCCTAAATTTACCACAGCCTTGTTGTATATTCTCCAACGCAAGCCTAAACATTTTTCTTTTCAAGGTTATCATTTTATTTAACCCTAAATTTACCACAGCCTTGTTGTATATTCTCCAACGCAAGCCTAAACATTTAACCTGTTATGATTACAAGTTTTTCAACGTCACTAAAAGTTATGTCGGGTTAATTATTTACCATGGTGTGGCCCTTGACGAACTGCTAAACTTGAAAAACACCACAAAAAATGGCGAGGACGTGCTTGATAATCTATTTTTTGTCAAAAACAATTATATATACAATATACGTGTATATATACGATGGTGTGACGTATTATCGGTGTATAAAAAAAGGAACATGAAATATACTACTTACCTGTCCACGTTCAATCTGTTTCACGTGTTAATACTGTTATTATTATTAGACATTCAGAATGTACATTTTCCCCCTTTTGATTTCTCATTATCATATTCTGAGTTCAAGACAACCCATAGAATAGAAACAGAGCATAACACATTACCAATGTAGCGGCAGTTTACACTGATTAATAATTAGGACAAGTCCTTGGAACGGAGCACAAGGTGGTCCGTCATTTTCTGATCTTCTTTTTTTGTACATATAGTGCAGTAAATTATTTTTTGTGGTGAAGCACAAGATATACAATGGGCTATCTGTGTTATGCCCATCACGAGTATCGAAACTCGATTTTTTAGCGTCATAAGCTATTATAATAGAATATTTGACATAATACTAATCGGGGTTAGCATACAAAAGTATAAGACTGGAACTACAGTTCCAGTCTTATACTTTTAGCGAACTTCAACAAACAAACCATCTCTCGTAGCTCCAGTCTTATACTTTTAGCGAACTTCAACAAACAAACCATCTCTCACGAGAGATGGTTTGTTTGTTGAAGTTCGCTAAAAGTATAAGACTGGAACTAGGAGAGGTGGTTTGTTTGTTTGTTGAAGTTTGCTAAAAGTATAAGACTGGAACTACGAGAGATGGTTTGTTTGTTGAAGTTCGCTAAAAGTATAAGACTGGAGCTACGAGAGATGGTTTGTTTGTTGAAGTTCGCTAAAAGTATAAGACTGGAGCTACGAGAGATGGTTTGTTTGTTGAAGTTCGCTAAAAGTATAAGACTGGAGCTACGAGAGGTGGTTTGTTTGTTGAAGTTCGCTAAAAGTATAAGATTGGAACTGCGAGAGATGGTTTGTTTGTTGAAGTTCGCTAAAAGTATAAGAATGGAACTACGAGAGGTGGTTTGTTTGTTTGTTGAAGTTCGCTAAAAGTATAAGACTGGAGCTACGAGAGGTGGTTTGTTTATTTGTTGAAGTTCGCTAAAAGTATAAGACTGGAGCTACGAGAGATGGTTTGTTTGTTTGTTGAAGTTCGCTAAAAGTATAAGACTGGAGCTACGAGAGGTGGTTTGTTTGTTGAAATTCGCACAAAGCTTCTCGAAATTATGTGCGTTAGCCGTCAGCTAATTTAGAAGCGATAGACTAGCAAAAAAGCTAGTCAATACCACCCACCGTCAACTCTTTTATCAACGAGAAGTGGGATTGATTGACACATTGTAACGTCCCCACGGCTGAAAAGGCGAGCATGTTCGGTGATGGGATTCGAACCTGCGACTCGAGTGCACTAACTATCAGGTCATGCCAGGCCGTTGGAATTGAAGCGCAGTATATATATATATATATATATATATATAACTGTTAGCATGGTTTACTGTCACGTGCTCATATTTGTCCTATAGTAAAGAGGCGGAAAATTAAGAGTCCAGTTACATAGCTTAAACAATTATTGAACGTGTCGATAAGGTTACTACATGTATTCAATGTTTGAATACTCATCCATTACTTCAAAATACGATATTTGACTCACCTTGTATTTTCTGTCCGTAACCATGAGTAAAGAACATCAGAGCATTAGCTGCACGTTCGGGGGTCTTCAGTAGTCCTTGTCGCTCAGGGTTTTCTCCGATTGCCGTCAGAATATGTCGATAAGCTTTAGAGAGTTCTGTTACTTGGGAATCTGTGTCTGCCCTGTGTTCGTCGAGTTCAAAATCGTCGTGGAAACTTATGGGAGCGACGCTTGAGAGACGCCTAGTGACCGTTACTGACTTATTATGGTATTCGAGATCACCATTTAGAAATAATTCTCCCGACAACTTAGTGCTAGATGGTACATCGCTCATGTTGAGTTTCAGAGATGGCTGTGGTTAACTTTTATATGTACGGTTTATTTTGTTAGCTAGCCACCTTCCGTGCTCCCCGCTCTGCCCTGTTATTGGTAGTTCACACTTTTCTTGGGTTGTATAAGTACCATAACCATAGATGGCGCTGTCAGCAAGATTGTGCGCAAAAGACTGAAAATTATTTCATCATCTATATAACCTTTAGTTGAAGTTTCAAAATAATATATTTCATAGTTATTAAATGAATAAAATATTTCGACTTATGACGCTCAGTGGATTCGCAAATGAAATAACATATGGTAATCAAAACCAAGAGAAAAATATGTTAAACATGAAACGACTTTTCACTGAGTATCAATAAACACGAATATTTTCAGCCAACGAAACCGGTGGCGATAAAGTAGCGTCTGCTCTTTTATATCTTTTGTTACAGAAATTTTACTACACGGCATCAGTTTTATAAACTAATTTCCCTGGACTGTTTACTAATTGTTAAGTCAAAGATAAAAATATTTTATACTCAAAGTAATTAATGTAATGACGTCATTATAACTAAGCGAAGTGAAGAAGAGAATTATATACATCTTTTTTCATCTAAATGTTTTGATTTGAATTAATTTGATAGAAAATGACGGTCACTAGTTGGACTTTTTGGCGGAAAGCTACATTAAGATGGGTTATCTACGGTCTTTACACCGTGGGGAATCAATCGCCGGATTTTTAGCGTTGCAAGTCTGGAGACTTACCGTTGGCCAAGTGGGTGACTACACTCACTAATTTACTCCAGAATATAAAATTGAAATACCTGTAATTTCTTTCATTTCTTGAGATATTCAATTTTGACAACACTAGTTTAGGTAACATGATTTATTTTTTCATCACCAGGGACAATTAAATGTATAACCACTAAAACGTTAATATAAAATACGATTTATAAACGCTTGGTCTCAAGAGATATGCAAAACCAAGCCGATAAACTTTCACAAGCAAATCTTTTTAATATTTTTGTTGAACAACATTCGGTAATATATAAGAAAACGATAATTTTATGTATGGAGTACCTTGAGACCACAAGAAAGAACCAGTGATTTCATCGTAACCTACTGCACTAATGTATGGAGTACCTTGAGACCACAAGAAAGAACCAGTGATTTCATGGTAACCTACTGCACTAATGTATGGAGTACCTTGAGACCACAAGAAAGAACCAGTGATTTCATCGTAACCTACTGCACTAATGTATGGAGTACCTTGAGACCACAAGAAAGAACCAGTGATTTCATCGTAACCTACTGCACTAATGTATGGAGTACCTTGAGACCACAAGAAAGAACCAGTGATTTCATGGTAACCTACTGCACTATAGTACTTTCCTTATATCTTACACAAAACAAGAACAAAATACTGAAAAATGATCCGTTTTCTCAAGGTTTCCTGTTTTATTACTCAATTTAAGGAGCTCGACTCGCACTCTGCAGGTCGCGGGTTTGAATCCCCGTCACACCTTAAATCGTTTCTTCAAGAACTCTTCCTGTTTAAGGTTATTACTATTTTAGGAAGAAATGTATGGCTAAGAAAATAATATTACTAATAGATAAATAAATAAATAATTAAAAATTAAGTGTGATATGAAATAAAAAAAAGTTTTCGAAATGACCCACAATTTGATTTCCGAAGATAAAAATGAATTATAGACACAATAGTTAAATTTATTCGGGAATGCTTCTTAATGGCGCTCAAAAAGAGGAGTTTGTTGACTGGGTCGGTTTGTTTTGAATTTTGCGTAAAGCTACACGAGGGCTATCCGCGCTAGCCGTCCCTAATTTAGCAGTGTAACATTAGAGTTACTCTTTTACCAACGAATAGTGGGATTGACCGTCATATTATAACGCCCCCACGGCTGAAAGGGTATTCGAACCCGCGACCCGCAGATTGCGAGTCGAGCGCCCTAACCACCTAGCCATACCGGGCCTGCTGAGTCGGATTTGAAGCGTTAATTTTAGCTCTTATCAGGGATATATTATTTTTGATTTATAATTGTTATAATTGTTATCTTATTTTTAACTGGACGTTAGAGTTCGGCATGTTATTCTAACACAGTTATGCCAGTATCAACACACGAGCTCAAATTGTATTTAACAACTTAGACCTCATCGTATGTACTTATTTCTAATTATATCGTATACCAACATTTTATTTGCTCTGCATAATTTTATTGTTAACCAATCATTTTCAATGCAGTTCATATTAAAATTATGAAACGCGCATTTATACAATGCAGACGAATTCGTTATTTTTTAGTTATGTATCCGTCTAGCGTTCTAATTATCCCTGAATTTCTTTGTAAAAAGAGTTTAACCATTTCTGAGCTACTGCAAATAAGTCCTATCTACAGAGGGCGTTCTTTCGTCCAAGTCACAGTGGTTATTGCATCATGAGGATACTCTTAGTGATAGTTTTTGCAAACCTATCTTTTAGAACACCCTGAAATGAACTGCTTTTTGTTTCAAGGTCAATATCGTTTTCATTGGCGATTGCACGTGAGCAAACTCGTGATTTCTAAACGACAAAATGTTTTGCTGATTGTTTTAATCAGGTTACCGTCTATCTTGTATTTATGGCAAAACTACTAAAGCTACCTGCCATCGCCCCTAATTTTGAACCAGATGGAATGTAGCCAGTCAGCAGCACCCTACCATTCATCATCTATACGAAGAAATTGTCTATCACTATTATGACGAATCAATGGCTTAGAGTGCAGAGAATATTTTGTAGTATCGCACGGATTCGAAGGCTTCAAAATCCACGCTATAATCCCTACTTAATGGCATATAAATCAATAATCTGATGGAAAGAGTTAAAACTTGTTCAATAAACTACATTGTTTGTAACACTTGAATCAAAGGGCCAGCCTGAATTTTAAAGTTTGACTTCTAACAACAAGTAAATCCATGTTTTTTCTTCTTTATATCATATCTAAAACTCGTTTCATCTTATTGTGAAACAAGCCTTATCCGACAATGATCATGATAATAAAGCAGTACTTCGTCTTCCACTTTATTCGACAATGATCACGATAGTAAAGCAGTACTTCGTCGTCCACTTTATTCGACAATGATCATGATAATATAGCAGTACTTCGTCTTCCACTTTATTCGACAATGATCACGATAATATAGTAGTACTTCGTCTTCCACTTTATTCGACAATGATCACGGTAATAAAGCAGTACTTCGTCTTCCACTTTATTCGACAATGATCAGATAATAAAGCAGTACTTCGTCCTCCACTTTATTCGACAATGATCACGATAATAAAGCAGTACTTCGTCCTCCACTTTATTCGACAATGATCACGATAATAAAGCAGTACTTCGTCTTCCACTTTATTCGACAATGATCACGATAATAAAGCAGTACTTCGTCTTCCACTTTATTAAAGAAGCTAAAGTTGTACGTATCTTAGTCAATTTATTAGCATTAGCATACTATAAAGAAAAGTTTTTTTTATGAAATAGGCTAATAAATTTCTCATATTCACCGTGTAAAAAGTATAAACACAAAAGCAGGTATAATCATTTTCGAAAATAAGCTTTAAAATATATATTTAAAAAGTATTTATTGTCAGTATAATTGGAGGAAAGTGAAAATAAAAGTAACAGAGTATTAAATTTTTCGCAAGTCATAAATTATAGTTTGTAAATACATTTGTGTAAACATAAAATTAAAATCAACATATTCTGAGGCACTTTATCAGAGTTGTTTTAAAAGCAAAATTATTCAGTACCTAAAAAAAAACCAAAAAAAACAACCAGAAACTTAATCAAACAACTCTGATTGCTTTCTGAGACATAAAACATTTTTCCAAAACCCAAGTAAGTAATGTTTATTAAATTCCGACTTTCAAAACGGTTTTCTAATCATTTCTTATCAACTCACTGACATAAGTAATGAATATCAAAGGTTTCCGAAACAGATCCTTTAGGAACGTGACTATTGTCATATTTCCAGTAAAGTTTTTTTTTCTACTAGTTTATTTTCTACATGACTCTTAGTTATTTTTTTTCAGCATTATGATAATAACCAAATTTTCTAATAACCTTCTTTTTGTGCGGTGAGTTATCAAAGGCTTTCTAAAAACTGAGATACGCAACATCAACTAGGATGACTCCTTTCATAAAAGCAAGGCCTGGACATATCGGAGAGCTCATTTTTAAAGCCTCGTTGGGAATCATTCATTAAATTCTAGCTTTAAAGATATTTTAAACTACCTGTGACAGCAGACAATAAACTCCAATACTTTACTAACAATAGAATTCAAACTAATAGTCACATAATTTCCCAGAATCCCCTTCAATGCCCAAAAGTAAGGACCACATTACTGTACTTTCAATCATCATAAATCCCAGAGTCCAGTGATTTTTGAAAGTTATGCCTTATTTCTCACAACCTTTTAGTTAGTTCTTTAAAGCCCACGAGCTCTAATATCTTGAAGATTCTCTAAATAAAAATAAAATCTTTCCTGTTAACAATAATAGATTAGTTCAAGTAATTCATCTTCTGTGTTTATAGAAAAAAAAAGGGGACAAGCTGTTTTACCTGATTTCAATAATAAAGACACTTGTGATGCTTATCTAACTTATTAGTCTGTTTTGTCATCCATAATCACTTTAATCTTTTAAAGGTCTAATATAAATGTCATATTCACGGAAATGTGACTGAATATCCTGTATTCATAATTTAATTTCTTTATTCATCTAAAGAAATGGACATTTTGTAAAACGCGACATTTTGGATGAATGTTTTTCTTTTGTTTATCTGCTTGTTTTTTGGAAAAGAAAAATTACCACACGGAAAATACTTATTTATTGATTATTATTGAACCGAGACTGATACGTGCGGAAAGCAATTATTTTTCTGTGTGTGTGTCAAAACAGAAAGTTCATATCACAGGGTTTGCTCACTTACAACGCTAGAAACTGGATTTTCGATACCCGTGGTGGGCAGAGCACAGATAGCTTATTGTGCAGCTTTGTGCTTACCTATATATAAACAAACCTATTCTACATTAACTACTTAATTTGTCTGTAACCTGGTCTATAGACTTTCAGGTAATAGTCGTAAGCTAT